ATATATATATATATATATATATATATATAATGTAATTATCAGTTGAGACAACTCATTTTCTTTCGGTTTGATGTAATATGATAAAATAAATAACTTATTACAAATGAATTAATGGCTTCCACAGACGTCTAGGTATGTAGCGTATTAATCACGGCATGTTTGTCATACCCATCAATAAGAAGAAAAAAAATATGTGTGTTTTATTTGATGCTTTTATTCTCAAGATATATCGTGATTGTTTGTCTTGTACTCGTCTATTTGTGATGTTTATCGATGGAAAACATGTTCCACGTGGAACTTTTTTGATGTTGAAGACTATAAACGTTTGAATCCCATGTTTTTTGCATGAAAACGGAGAATACTTTGTATGCAAATACAAATTTTGTGTGTGTAAGATTTGTTAGTGATTTAAAGGATTTTAATAATATCATATTAATTAATATGTTTTATTAATGTAAATTAAATTTTCATGTTACAATTATATATTTAATTTATTTTTTTGTACGGTTAAAAGCTTCATTATTGATTATTATATCAAAGCCATAACAATTTCTTACGTTTAAAAAATTTATAATATTTAAATAGAAAATTAGCAATTTCATAGAAATTAGTCGATTCAATTTTCAACAACTTGAATTAGGGGTCAAATTGGATTGGGTTCAACTCATTTATTAAACAGGTTGAAAATTTCAATTTAATCCAACTCATTTAATTATCAACTCAATCAAATATGTTATCTAAATGGGTTGACAACGAGTTGATCTGTTTACGATTTTTTTAACCCACCTGTTAAATAAATGAGTTGAATTTGGGTTAATCCATATAATTTTAAAATTTTAAATAAAAAAAGACTAGACTATTTAATTTTTTGAATAAAACACAACACAACCACAAATACAAACAGATTGTTTAAAGTTTGAATAAAATACAACTACAACAAATATTTGTTCAAAATAAATCGGAAAATTTTAAATTCTAAGTAACTCGACTTCCACTTTCACCAACCCAAGTTCACTCTTGGACGCCTAGACGGAGAGAAAACCGAGAGGGAGACAATTAGACAAATGTTTGACGGAGAGAGAACCAAGAGGATGAAAAACGCTGCACGGAGAGAGAGCAGAGATCGAGAGGGCGAGAGACGGACAACAGATTTGAAGAGTTCAATTGGACTTTGGAGGCGATAATAGAGTAATGCACTAAAGGATTTTCTTAGAGTTTCATGATAATTAAGAGTAACTGAAGCAATTGGAATTTGGATTTTTAATTAAAAAATTACTAGATATAATATTAAAAATAAAATAAAATTATATAATATTTGAAATGGGTTGGAAATAACAGATCGAAAAATTCAACCCAACCCAACTCATTTATCTAAAAAGGTTAAGCAGGTTGACTCATTTTTTAAAATGAATTGAAAATCTCAACCCAACCTACTAATTCTGAGTTAGATTAGTAGGATTTTTTTCCACCCTAACTTGAATAGATAAAACTAGTCGGGTCTAAAACATATTCAAACATTTACTGGTTATTAAAAAAAATATTGTCCTATAATATGGTTTTTATAATTATATTTAATAAATTATTTACTTATAAAAGTCAATATTTTTGCATTTATCTTATGAATTAATTATATATATAGACCGGTTAACTCATCCCTATCGATTCCCAACCACCTCATCTTTAATTATTAGGGTATTTAGGTTGAGTTGATTGAGTTGAAGACATTTAAACGACATAACTTAATGTTTGCGGTTTGAAAAATTTCAACCAACCCAACTCAAATCGACGGGTTGTTCGAGTTGATACTTTGATACATTTAAATATAATCCTAACCTTGAATATGTTGTTTTCTCTACTCATAATTCTTTTTTCATCACCAAACATTTGGTACAATTTATCCATATTTCTTAAATTTTAAATATATCACCTTCAACTATTTTTCTCAATTTGCGTTTTCACATTTACTGAACATATATAGGAAAGAGTTATATAGAGATGGAGAAGAAATCGAAATTATATGTACATGAAGAGGGTATATAATGGTGCGATTGTCTTATCTACATATTAACAGGGAGTTTAACAATCATATTAAATCTAAAAAATAAAAAGAATATCAAATTCATCTGGTTGGGTTCAAATGATTGTAACCCAATCCCAACTCATTACTTACGGTTTAAAAATTTTACAACTCGATTAGACATCCGATTGTTTTGGCTTAGGTTATTTCTCATCTAACTAACTTGGGTTGGTCGGGTTTTTTAGCACCCCCACCAAATATCTTTGTTTTAACTTACTAATTGGGCTTTTATGGCCCAAATACTTTGAGGAAATAAAAAAAATAAAAAATAATTATAAATATTTACATATGTATCCGTCAATTACAATTCAACTCTAAAGGTGTAGCGTTTTCAAAACAACTTGAAATGCAAAATATTATAAATTAAAATAGACTTTTAATAAAGATAAAGATTAGATTGTTGGTCCCCCAATAATTTTAATAAGGAATTAATCACATGTGAATTTGACTTTATTTTTAAAAATCAAATAAAAAGAAGAGTAAAAGCTTAAGTTTTGGTCCCTAACATTTGTAGTTTTCGGCGATTATTATTTCTAAGTTATAAGAACACGGATCTAGTCCCTTGCGTTTGTTGATTCCTAACGTGTTCGGTCCTTCTGTCTAGCAGCCCTAAACTTTTTCCGTTAAACCCAGCTAAATGAAAGTATTTTTCTTTATGTTTATATTAAAATTAAAAAAAAATATTATATTTTTAATTTTAAATTGTTATAAAAAGGCAATCACCATCTTTCCTTCTTCTTTTTGTTTTACAATTTAGAGTTATTTTAATATAATGAAAATACTAAAAATACTTTTTATTTAATTGAATTTAACGGATAAAATTAACGACCGTTAGACAAATAGACCAAAACCGTTAAAAATTCACAAAAGTAAGTTGTTAGATTCAAGTTTTTGAAGTTGATGAGTGATATCTATAAAAATTCGCAAACATTAAGGACCAAAATCGAATTTTACTCTAAAAAGAATATAATAATAACGCCTCAAATACGAGATATTAAATTTTAGCACGTAAATGTTACGTTCATTTAATGCTTGGTTGTTTTTATCTTTCTAAAAGTTAAAAAACCATTAACAAATGAATTTATGACACGTGCTAGCCCCCACGTTTCATATTTTATATCGCCATGTGTTTCATTACTTTTATAAATTTAATGTTTTTTGGCGTGAAAGTCCATTTATTTTACTTTATTGCACATATTCCAAAAAATAATTAAAAATAATGGTTAGTGTCGTCTTTTTTACAAAATATATAAAAATACAAGTGGATTCAGATTTTACAAATTTAAATTATTTAAATTTAATTTTCTTGTTAAATTACTGAATAATTTGAATTTTTTAAAATGATGAATAAACTATTCACATGTGAATTCCTACAATTATTTGAAGTACTGATTTTTGGTTTCAATCTTGTTTAATTGTTTAAAAATCAAATATCAAAAAACGTTTTGAATGGTGTGTTTGGAACTTTTAGAATTGGAAAAAGAAAAGCTGATATGGTTATTTACTGACATTTAAGTACTCGTTTTCTCGTGGGTGTTCAAAAGATTGTGCAGCAACTCATCCATTTATAGAAAATCATATTTGCGAGTTTATTACAAGTCTCAAGTTGTGGGATACAATAACCACAAGGGTGGTGTCTGATTGGTTTGAATTTGACTCCAAAGGTCAAAAGTATCAGGAGGTTTCATGTTCAAATCCAAGAAGGAATAAAAATCCCCTTGTGGCCATGGAGGTTCAAATACGGTGACTCTAGGCTATCTGCAAAGCAGGTGGTCATTCTGGGATTAGTCGGCACGGGTAGCAGGTTGGATATCCAGGTTAATCAAAAAAAAAAGTTATGGGTTACAAACAACTTTCACCATGGTTTTTAGTTGGACTCTAAGTTATTAGATCAATCTGTTGTTGTGGGCTTCGGGATCTTATAGATTACGTGATAAGCTACCAGTGTAATAAGTCATACAACTTGATCCATTAGGGTATCTTGTAGAAAATGAAATTTATTTATGTATTTATCAATTAAATATATAATTTATTTACTATTTTAATCTTGTAAAAGTATTTTTATAAATTAAATATTTTTATTTGTTTATTCAAAATAAAATACAAGGTGCATTTCAGACATAGGATACAACAAAAACTAACAAATTGTGGTGGAAAAGATTAAAAAATAGTTTTAAATAAATTAATTAATATCTTAAACTTGAAAAAGAATATAATAATTTTGTAAAATAAACGTGTTGGCATCTTATTTTTATATAGAAGAGTATGTAACAGATGGAGTAAATGAAATCAACGGCTGTGATCATTCTTTCCATAGAAGATACAGGTCTTAAAAAGTCCCTCCCCCAATTTCTCTTTCACTCTCAGTTTTTCAAGACATCTCTCTCTCTCTCTCTATATATATATATATACACACACACACACATATATATCTATATCTATATCTCAATTGGGATTTTTTTCTAACTCTTGAAGATTTATTTGGGTTTTAATCTTTACGATTTGGGGTCATTTTGAGCTGCAAAATGGAAAGGGATTTCATGGGTTTGAATGTTAAGGAAGAAGCAGCCATGGAAGCAGGTTCATTTTCGATATCATTAACCTTTTTTTTTATTTTTTCATTTTTAATCCTCATTATTTGTGGTTTATTGAATTTTTATGAGATTTTAAATTTTTCTTGTTATAAATGTTTTGACTCATTATTTACTCTCTCTTTAGTGTATATATATATATATATATATATATATATATATATATATATCGAAGCTCTGTTTCTTGTAAATTTGGGGATTTATGAGATGTTAGAGGCGATGGGTGTTTTGTTGGTTCCAATCAGATATGAATCTTTATGATTTCAGACATGTTTTCTTTAAAAATTCATAATTCCATTTATTATGGGTGTTTTTTCGTAATCAGACAGCAAGTCGTTTTCTACATGAATCAACAAAAAGCTTTAGGATTATCTCTTGGTTTTCAAGTCGTTGACTTGTGATTTCATGGTTTGTTTTAATTTTAAACAATTTAATTGGAGATTCTTGAATTCTATTTCCCAAATCTTGTTCAAGAACAAGAAAAGATCCAATCCTTGATGTTTGTTTGTTTGTTTGTTATCTTATGCAGAAGGTTTCCAAAGCTTCAACAATCATCACTCCCCTGAAATTAAGGTTTGTTTTTTTTTTCAGGATTTTAAGATTTAAAAATAGAAAAAACAATAATTATTGTTGTTTCAAGATTTCTTGATTAACAAAATTTGGATGATCAGGTTTTGTTGGATCTCAAGTGACTCATGAACTTACTTCTTTAAATGTATAGAAATGGATTGGTGGTTCTACTGGAACTCATTCTGTTCAATTAACCATCTTTTATGGTGGTATGGTTAATGTATACGACGATATCTCCCCCGAGAAGGTAATATTTCTATCGGTTTCGTGTTTTGGGTTTGAGATCTTGATCGAAATCAAAGCTTGAATCGTGTTTTCTTGTGTAATCTAGGCTCAGGCTATAATGCTATTGGCCGGAAACGGGAGTCGGGTTCAAGCTCATATGGCTACACCAAGGACTCCGGCAGGAGACGGGGCTAACAAAACCCTTTCGAGCCAAGGGTCTGTTGGTCCAGCGACTGGCATTGGACCGCCACCGAATGGGATGAGTTCACTTGGACGAATGATCCAGTCAGGTATAGTTGACGGGTTGTTTGTCACAAAGTGTTTTTTAAATCTATGACCTTCTGACAGATATCTGGAATTCTCAGACCTGTTAAAAGGTCGTGGATTTAAGAAAAACCTGTTAGAAGGTCATTTTACCATCGGACCTTCAAATAGGAAGAGATCGTTAACACTTGGATTGTTGGATGCAGCTGTTCCTCAGATGCGTGGAGCGTCTTTGGCTCGGTTTCTAGAGAAGCGTAAAGAAAGGTATAGTTGTCATTTCAAAGTATATAAGATTTATATACGGCTAATACTCTGTTTTAAAAAGTTAGACTTTACTGATAATCTGGATACTGTTGGGCTTGCGACCCTGTTCTAGTGGTTTTGAAGTCGTTGTGAACCCTTTCGGATCTTGTTTGTTCTATAACGCAAGTATCAGAAAATCCAATAACCAGATTCTTGTTTATCGATACAGAGTGATGGCTTCGGCTCCTTACAACCTCGGTAAGAGCTCGTTCGGCAAACCCGAATCCAGCAACGGACCAGAGAAAGACGATAAGCAGTAACGACAAGTTTATGTATAACAATTATTTCAAAGTTTTGTAATCGATCTCTACAGGTTCATCGGTTTTAGTCTCGTTTCTAGTAGAAACTTGTTTTTGGAGATTATTTGACGACGACCGTGTAGTTATCGTTGTAACGTATGATCACGCATTCGGATAGTATAGATAGAAAAACTTCCAAGGACGTCTTTTAATTTGATTGTACTGCACTTCATATTTGTAATAACATTATGATGTCATCTTATAAGTAGTATAGATAGAAAAACTTCCAAGGACGTCTTTTAATTTGATTGTACTGCACTTCATATTTGTAATAACATTATGATGTCATCTTATAAGCTATAACCTGATTTCGCACATGTATTTCAGCGCAAACGTTGGTCCCCCAACACACGATACAAAGGCCTCGATGCAACGGATGATTGACATCCCGTTAACATGTCATATGGGGTACGTTGTGTTACGGGTTTAGAAGTGTACAAAATCCGTTTATCAGTTGATAATACACTTCTCCCGACCCAAAACATTTTCTGGGGTACCTAATGGGTTAATCAAACCAAACGAACCCGATATATTACCTGGTTCCTTGAAAATAGACTAAGGAGATGTTTACCCGAATGCTTATCAGTAATAGTCAATACTCTTACTTACATTATCTGGTAAGGTTATAGTTCATCAAAACGGTACTGTACGCAATAATTTGCATAGTAGAAGCTTGATAGGTAAGAGTCGTCACTCTCACTTAGCGGGCAAGACTCTTCATCTTTATTATCGCTCTAACCAGGTAAGATTTTTAGTCCTTGGCATGTATATCCGCTAAGATGAATGACCCGCTAAGCGCTTACCAAGTAAGCATTTAGTAAACTGCTCGAAATTACAAAATTCGTCCACATGGGTTCTGGAAATTGTGGTTTTCGTCTCTAGAGTTGTGGTTTGCATTTTGTTACGGTCTACATTCCGTAGCGGTATGCAAACCATAAGGTTACCGGTGTAACTATTGAACTCTATGGATAAAAATTAGAGTTTCAACAAACCAAAGAGACAATTTTTGTTATTTAGGAGCCGTTTACACAATCGCTTACTCAGTAAGCACTTATCTGTAAAGATTCAACACTTATCTTACCAGGTAAGACTATAGTCCAACGAAACGGCATCGTCTGATCAATTTTTTCAGGTAAGAGCTAACCAGGTAGGAGTCGTCACCCCCAGTTAACGGGTAAGACTCTCAGTCCTTACCATCGATCTTACCGGGTAAGATTCTCGTCCCTTGCCATATTTCAGCTGGTAAGATAAGTGATCCGGTAAACGCTTACCTGGTAAGCATCGGGGGTAAACGGCCCCTTACTCTAAAAAGTAAAATAAAAATGTATGTAAAACAAAGGTTTTATATTGCCAACTCATCCAAAACCAATTGGCTGATGGCCAAAATTTCATCTCCTAAAACACACCACTCACTTCATCTATACAAATCCTAAAATAACCTGAAACTGGAGAAACCTTCAGGATAGATTCTGAGACAGTTTCGGATTCGTAGCAGCAGCAGCATAAATCGAACAATTCCCATCGGTTTTTAAGTGAGAAAGAAGATGCTGTACATCCTTTCGCAAGTTTTCAATCGCTCTTCCACATAAACCCAATACATCGGGTTTCGGTTTAGAATTCGGCTGTACAGGCCCTCCCTGTCCTTCGTAATGCACAATATGGTGACTGAAAAGGAAATAAGACGTAATAAGAAATCAAACATGGATTGGACTTGCAAGATGGTATGCAGCTGAATGAAGGAAAACTGTATAAATGACAAAAGGGTCATTTTGCCCCAGTACCCGAGTTACCGGTAAGCCAGCCTCACAAGAGGTCAGGGTTCAAATGGTCCATGAGTATTTACCGTATATAAATATTATATGCATCAAAAAGTTGTACAAATGAAAAAAATAGAAGTTATGTGTTCTGCAGATCTAGTCACGAGGAAAAAGGAGTGATCAACCTTTTCAATTATCTTGTGAAAATGTCAAAAGAATACAGTTTGCAAGTACAATGGGTTTTAGCAAATTGTGGGATGAAAACATAAAGAGCATCATTATACTTGAGTCCTTTCTCCAAAGTTGATCGGTCTTGCAAAATGTAGCATATTTTTTTTTTGCATTTTAGCAAGAAAAATGGTTTGTTTGCAACAACGAAATCTAGTAGCTACAGTTTGAAAGTCCAATTACTCGAGAGAAAAATCTACAAGCAATCACTCGAAAAATCTGAGAACCAAGCACGAAATTGATTATATGATTGGTGACCAAACTTTATGCATTGATTGCTGACAGCAAATAAACTCAATTGGTTATATGATTGATTAAGTGTATTCTTACAGGAAGTCTATAAGATCTGTTATATCTGATGCTTCAACAGGAGGTGATGGCTGACTATTCCTCCCAAACACATCCACCATCATGCTTAAAAGCAGTTCAAGAGTCTGGAAAATAAGTTAAAACATGATGAGTCGATAAATAACCACCAATAAGAAGTTGCTTCTTAAGTTGGTAAAAATAAGGTAAACTAGACGAATTGCAAGTATGAAAAGTGAATTTCTATCCTGATACCTTAGTGAAGAGACTATGAGCATTTGCTAATCTTGGCAGCAGTGGACCGATTATGCGAAAGGCTATTCTCAGCACTGCAATGGAGGAAACAGGCCTTAGGTTGTTTATAAGGAGGTGTGTTTTATCTAGCCATTCCTGTGGAAGATTACTGAAGAAAGCATGGAGCAACGCCACCATATTTCCTGCATTACAATTATGCAACAAAAATAAGAATTGATCACCAGATTGTAGCAAGTTAATATGGATCCAGGATATCAATCATTTATCACTTTGACAATCAATGACAGTTGACCCATTTTGCAAATATAGGTATTGAAATTGACTGATACATTTAGGTGCCAGGTTGCTGTGCCAAAATGCTTATGTGTATTGTCTGACATGTCTTATTTATGGCTTAAACTTTTACCCTGAATCATTAACTTTGAGAACAAAAATGAATATATTTGCCAAACAGGCTAACTACATTATGTTTGCTAGATCAATGACTAACCTATAATATATCTATTTCTTTACCAGTCAATCTTAATGCATACTCCCTTCATTCCAAAAAAAATGTAATGATTTTAGCATTTCATTTGCTTCACAAGATGCCTTTGTCTCGTCATTATTGAATCTTATTTCAGATAACTGATGAATAGTCACACTTTGATTGAACTATGTACCAAGTTTAACTTCTATTGTGGCAGATGGATGCTTGGTTAGTTTTCCATCTAGTCCTGTATGGATAAAGTTGACTGTTTGGATTAATCTGTCTGTACAGATTGATAAGGGTTTTGTTTGGAAGAGTTCATTCATAGATGGAATGAACATTTTCTTTAATTGGGAAGGGCAGGTTTGGAAGAAAAAATAAAACTTGGCTTCTGCATAAAGTTCTCCCCTAAAAACTTACTAAATAAGCCACTTTCTATATCATTAAACCACTACCAAACAGTCATGTATAGCTGACCGAATAAGCTGTAAGTCTCATTAAGCTGCTAAAAAATAGCCCCTGAATCATGGGATGGCAAGGTTGAATAAGAAACCAAAATTCACACAATGAACAGTTGAAACCTACCAAGGGCAGTGGAGGTATTGTCTTGAGCAGCCCATGTCGGATCCAACAAAGCATAACCAACAGCAGAATCTAGTTCAATAGTAGACCGCCCTCCATCTGCATGCCACCAACTCTCTTTGATGACACGTGAAGCCTCTGCATAAAGCTGTATGTGGAATTCAGCAGGAAGCTGAGCCAACAGGAGACCACAAGCTTGAATCAGCACACAAGACAACTTCTGGTACGTATAACCACTCTGTGAAACAAAATCTGGAAGGTCTAGTTCTGTAGTTGAAGGATTTGATCTGCGACCATCTAAAAAATCGGTGATTCCTCCTGATGGGGAAGTTGCCAAAGCAGAACATGATTCTGAACTATTTGATGATTCATGGAAGCTATGATTAGACTGAATAAGAGTTGGTTGTATGTGGACAATAATCTGTACAAATGCCGAAACAATCTGTGCCGGAGTTACAGGGAGAGAGAGGATTTCTATAACTGCAGTTTCAAGAATTAGTTGGGTATATGTGCCAGGATCTTGTATCTGATAGAATGGCTTTTGACATTCGAAAGCATTTGTTGATCCAGACTGATTTGAACCCTCCCCTTTCAAGTTACATAGAGGAGGGATGACATTAGCCACAAGACCTGATAAAAGAGATGCAAAGTACTCCAATGGTGGACATATGGCATTTGACGAATTGACACGCTGTAAAAATGACTCTGAAAATGGCATCTGGAAGAAAAAAGTAGTCAAATTCAGTGAAAATGCAAGGACCAAAAGAATTAGTGGAAAGCTAAAATAGGATCACCCTTACCTTTTTTATATCAAGTACATTCAGTATCTGAAAGATGAGCTTTCCTGGAAGATGTCCATAGAAATATGCAAGTATATCACGTACGAATGTAAAATTCAAAGGATAGTAACGAAGGAAAGATGAAAACAATTGGAGAACTCTATCAGCTACGTCGGTGGCATCATTTTCAATTAGCCGATAAATGATTAAGGGGATGACAGGGAGTAAACGTGCTGCAATATCATCAAAATATGTTGGGTACCTGGAAAAACATAACATATATGTAGCACCAAACAATGAAGATGGAAAAACATGCAATAAACTGTTATACTACATAACATGCCAAAATGGTCAAAATGTACCTAAATATTAAAAGGAATTTAGCAAGAAAACTGGTCTGTAGGGAAAGCATATACTACCTTTTATTACTTAAATACTTTGTAATTTCTTGGTGACTCCAAAGTTGGCACCAAGAAGCTATTTCCTACTATTCTTCTAACACATTTATCAGTAAATAAACCAAACCAAACATACCTAGTATATCCCACTTGGAATTAAGACCTTTCCTCTACCCTAAGGAGTAGAGAGACTGATTTCGTAAATACCCCTTGCAATCATATTTATCGGTATATAAAGAATAAAGTCATGTTGTAAATTATTATCTTATGGTGTATATTTTGGGGATTTACATTCATTAATATAGCAAGCAGTAAGCAGGCTCTAAGCTATGATAGATTGATTTGAACAAAGTTCTGCAACAAGCATTAGTGTTCCCCGTTTAGTGAAGCTATTGATTATCTTTTCACCTTGTTACTACTTAAAACCATGAAGAAGAAAGGTCTCTCATCCGTGAATGCAGTGTTGGAGAAAAAGGGGTCTGGGGTGTTGGAGATCCTTCTTGTTTAGTTATTTATAACTTTTATTTGCAATTATAAGTTTGGATCTAGCAACATGTAACAGTTACAGACTGGCAAGACAAGTAATTTCCACATATCACCTTTCCTTCCATGACAAATGATGGCCAAGAGACTTCTGCAATTCAATACGCTTAAATATTCCATTTTGAAGCCAATGCTCCGGATTGTCATGATTAGCAACATAAAACTTTATCCTCTGTTGAAGTTCTTGTCGTTCAAGTAAATTAACCTGAAAAACAAAAATGCAAGCATTTCAGATTAGCAGCACAGTCACAAGTCTCACATCTAGTTTCTTTTTAGTTGTTTTCTGCAAAAAGTATCTTCCGATTTCTTGGCCCGCTATAATAACTGTACACAGCCATAGAAACTATTATTCATTGTTGGACCAACTGTTTACAAATGTATTTACACTCTCCGACAGGAAGAAGTGCTATTCCATGTCAGAGGTCACTCTTCATCCAAAAAACATGAAATTGTTGGATATTGTGATTCTTCTCCATCTATATCAAAGCCTTTGATAGCTAGTTACATGCTTATATTGCCTTCTACATTTCTTATTCCTTTTTTATTTAAAATTTAAACCCTAGCACAATAGGTTTTGTCCCAAGATCCAACTCTCTAAATTTACTACCCAAGTCCCAACTTTGTATATTTATTGAAAACAATCATTTCGTTTCCATCTTTAGCCTTCGGGAAGAAATGAAAATTAACAGATCCTAAAATAAGCATACAGAAAGAGAATAAATAAAAATCGAAATTGAGGGAGGGGTTTCTGTAAACAGTATGACAAAAGAAGACAAGAAGCAGAAAATCCTTAATAAGAACAGGAAGGTAGATATTTTCATCCCTATCTTCTTCAAAAAGGATGGACTAGGCCTTATCTAAAGTTTATACTTGTGACAGACATAACTGCTGTGTTCTCGAAACATTTTTTAGAAAGGAAAGGGAAGGAAATGGAGGAAAAGGGGAGGAAAGTAAAAAAGCTCGTGTTCTCGGAACCTTTTTTAGAAGAGAAAGGAAAGGAAACGGATAGAAAATAATCATAAGTTTCCTCCCAAAACTTTCCTACCAGATGTGGGACGAAAGGGAAGGAGAGGAAAGGAAAGAAATTAAAACCCTCTAAAAAATTATTAAAATTACAAAACTACCCAACCTTTCATTATAAAGGACATATTTCTAAAGGGTATATTTGTAAAGTTAACATCTTTCCTTTCTCTCTCTCTCTCTCTCTCTCTCTCTCTCTCTCTCTCTCTCTCTCCTGTTCAAGATCAAGAATTTTTTTTTCCTTCCTTTTCCTTCCGTTCCTTTTCCTCACTTCCAAAAACACAAATAATAAAACCATTTTCCCTTCCTTTCTTTCCCCTCCCTTTCTTTTCCATCCCTTTCTTTTCTTTTCTTCCCAAATTCGAGAACACAGCGTAACGCTGGTCATCAAAGCCGAGTCCGAGCTAGATTACGTCTCTTTTGCTTGTGGAAAGATTAAAAGTCACACCTCAACAAGTTTCATATCCTTATCCCTTCCCATAGCTAGATGATACATGAGCCACTGTCATACTCACATATCAGTGGGTAGTAGTCCAACACATCTGGCGATAATACCGTTAATGTTCATTGTGATGTTTTGCCGAATATTATACTCCACATCTTACTTGGAGGATCATAGATAGATCTTTCATATCCATAACATAAAGAAAAAGCTTCTTAAGTTTGAAATGCAATAAGAAATTTTTTATTTCCAACCACATTGAAAAAGCAATTGACAGATCAATATTTGAGAACCAAGCTTGCGAAACACACAAGCACGAACCCAAACCTACAAGCCAAGAGAATTTAATATTGACCACCACTAACGAGGTAGTAAAGGAAGCTAGCAAGCTTGAAGAGACAAATAGAAAAACGATATGGCAATATTATATGAGACTCGACCTAAGTAAAGAAAGAGGTTAAGACAGTAAGAAACAGACGAGAATGTAATGAAAGAGATAAATGCTATTGATATGATTCCAAGGACATTGAGCATATTGAATGTTGTTATTCAACTAGGTTTACTTCAAGTCTTCAAGTTAGCACAATCTTCCAATTACATAGGAATAGGATGAGCATAAGCAAAATTGTTAGACCAGGAATAAGAACTGAAATATCTTTTGTAGATAATGCAGCAGCACAGTTGGTTCTAACAGACACAAGAAATATAAGGGGAAGAGCAACATAAACAGCTATAAGAACCTACCACAATACGCAAAGCATGGGGATCATCATCACGGTCAATTAGCGCCAGAAGCAAAATATCTGGAGGCAGCAACTCGTGGTTCCAAATAAAGTGTGCGAGATTTGCACAGGCATTTAATATAAGATCCTAGAAATTGAAACCATATTGGGCCATTATGACTATTAGGGGCCAGATAATTGGAAAAAGCATGTAAATATAATCAAAAGAACTGCCACAAGCACATGAAAACAACTTTTCATCGTCAAACCTGCAAGGAATGTCCATGTTGTAGGTCCAACTGAATATTATGCAGAAGGACATCCACCATGGTATACACATTTGCAGTCACTTCCTCGGGGGAAAATTCTCTAAGCACGCGTCCCTGTAGTCAATGAAGAGAAATTATGACAAAATGAAATGGGAATAAGTACAGGATCAAAGTATAACATTAACCTGGGGAAAATGAACATAGTAAAAAATGGGAGCGAGAAGGATGACTTTACCAGGTTTGCACTGTTAATGTTCTCAGGGTGTCCACGCATCAGTACCCACGCTCCAGCACAGAGATATTGTCGGTGTTGAGGAAAACTGTGACTTATATAAGTCATGACATAAGTGGGATCATCTGGTGGTGAGAGAAGCTGTGTACACTGATGGATCACAGTTGCTTCTGCCTGTGAATGAAGATAATATCTTAGCCTTAAGTAACCACATCAATAACATATGTCCAATAGCTTAATATTGGTAAATGGGAAAAACAGTCACTAATAGGCAGTTTGTATAACCAAAATATCAGCCTTCATAAACATAAAATACAACTCTATGAATGTTAAAAATCATAAATAACTTTTAGCATATCTACAATCATCAATATCCAAAATATTTCAAAATTTCTGATGATAAATTACATGACATAATATTTAGGACCCCTAAAAACAAGACATCAACTTCTAAGAAGCCAAGTAAATAACATGAGGGTAATATTAGAAGCCACATCCCTTCCACCTTTCAGATATTCAAAGAGAACACATGTGATATTTGAAAACGTCCTGTCAAATTCTGACAAATCCTACAAAAAGGCATGGAGTGATTATGTAATAGAAACCCTGTTGAATCAATAACTTATTTTTCATCAGCACGAAATGACAGTCATGACCTGTTGTCTCACAAGAATGTACACTTGAGTACCAAGTGTATAGCAACAAATGACATTTTCCCCACATCCTAACCTTCCATTACTTCAAAGAATCCATCATAAATTTCTTCCACCAATTCTCCTTAATGCATTGAGAAACAGCTTAAACGCTTGTTTACTTCACTGGGGAGAAGAATTGAGAAGAAAAAAGGTTCAAAGGACAATTAAGGTAGTGTAAATCCTTGTGTAAAAGCCAGTCCCAAGTTATCAAGAATTATTATGCATTGAGTTGATCAATGTGAAAGACTTATCAACTAATAAGAGATTGAAATGGGGCTAAAAGATGATAAGAGGATGCATTGCACGTAAACACTGACCTGTTGCCATGCTTGGATTGCTAGGTCCCTCTTGTCTGTCCTCCCAATTAAGGCATCACGTAGAACAGCTGGAAAGTAACAGAGGGTCTTGTCTGACCATGTGTGATGGCTAGTAGCCAATATTTGTTCTAACATTGTTTGAAGATATAAAAGGTGCTCAGCATCAGCAATTCCACGTGTCTTAATGATAATAGCAAGAGTCACTACAGTTACACGATTCAATGTTTCTGTAAACTCAGTAGGTCCCTGCAGAAGATTTAAACAAGCCTAAATGAGGTGGTTGATAGTATTTATGGAAAAAATTGTACTTCCACGGCCACTAGCCCACCTTCCCTTCCCTCCTCACAAAAAAGAATTCTCTCAACGACATAATGAGATTCATGCACAGGTTCTCAGCCAACCTAAATACACGATGATCACCACGCTTGCCTTTTAGTGTGGAGAGAATTTTCGTAACATCATACATCAATGTCTTGCTCTTCCCTTGGTACCTACAGTAGCACTAAAATTATTACATGGATATAAGATACAGAGAGAGAGAGAGATGAGCATAAGTCATGTGCAGGCTGAACCACTTAGGCTGAGTTCACCTTGGCTCCCCAACAGAGGTCTCCATAGTTTCTTAGTGTACATGTGATGAAAAGACGTAAAGTGTGGTTGATACTAAGGGTGGTTTTCATAATTAGGTATACTCATATGATGAGACTTTGTAGCATCTGGCACATGGTTGCAAGGTGCCATGTGGGCATAACAAGAATATTAAGAATATTAAGAATATTGCAGTTACATCTGTGGTATTCTCTTTCCATCCATCGTAACTCAATAATATATACTAGATTAAATGTATTAAGTTTAAGCAATATATATCTTTCTGTGTATCAAATTATCATGTCATTCAGCGTATTATCTAGTAGTTAATCCAAATAGTAGCTTACAAGCAAAGCAGGACTTTGTAACAAAGGGCATACCACAATACCACATAAGATCTTTTACTCTACGACATGTATCCATTCAATTTCATCTCAGATCTTTTTTATTTTGATATTCTTTTTCCTAGGTTTCTTTTACTTTTGCTTTATCAAGAAGAGTGTTTGGTTTTTAAATCCAACATGAATGTTTTAATAATCTGTCCTTGACGTTAACATGGTTAGTACACATGAGGCTATTTTTTTTCTATTCTCACTAATCTGGCAACAAGATTTACAAATTGGTTTGTTTATGTCCCCAGACCCAGATTCCTAGCTGGCTCATCTACCAATGGATGAACATGCTTGTTGACAAAGAGAGAAAATTAAGGTGATCGATTTAATATAATGTGAATTGTTAGTTAAATGCGAGTAATTCTCAAATATGGAAACTAGTCCCAATCACCTGTATAAAGGAAATAACCGATAGTTGAGAATTTCAAGCATTAAAAGTGTAGCTGCAGGCTTATTAAAAGTTTCAGAATTCCTCTGATGCAGATGCTGCAAAATTTTAAGACATATTACAAGAATTAGCAAAAAGGAATAAAAGAAAGACGCTATGATGAAACAAGAAGCAAAAAACACCCACATCAAGCACATTCACGTGTGCAAGGATAGGGAGTATCACCCCCGTTACTTAGCTTACAAGGTTCATATTGAAGACAGGACACTGTTAAATACAGAGACAGATTTTCTTTTCTTTGGGGGAAGCATGAAGAAACTTAATAAACTTGTGCTTGATTTGACATATGGGTGGGTATCTATCATGGAAACGTGATTATCGAAACAGTGATGCATGAAAAATGTACAGTGATATGAATCTCAAGAAGCAATGGAGCTTACACTTAAATGTGAGCGGAACAATGAATGAGGTTGAATAAGCAGCAACCTAGTATATGTTTCGACCATGGCAATGTTAGGTACATACTGCATTAAATGCAAAGAATAAAATATCAGAACATAGATTAACTTAATAATGTTGTACATAGATATTCTAATGTGCCAAACATATGAAAAATGACTAAGATTTCAGAACATGAAAAATGGGTGTGTCATTTTGGTTATGAGCATAACCCACGGTCGTCTTTGATACAGTGCCCCCAGGGTTCAGCTCTGGCCACAAAATTTTCTTGGCTTCCAGATTCGACCTGGTTCAGCAGTGGCACCAGCCACTTCCAAAATAATGTGAAATATAAGCTTACTAAGCCATGATCAGTCGGTGTAGAGAGAGAGTTGATCAAAATGATCAGAACTTCCCCTTCCATCACCACCCATTGGCAGTTTGAATTCCTGAAGGATGTACTGACAGTATCCTCGTCTTTATCATTTTCATTGTCTCTTCTCAGGGTGCAATTTACCCACTCTCAGTTTGGTACGCATACATAATAGTATGAACCAGTCTCCAATGATTAAATCAAACTAGCACAGATTTTACATGGCAGGTAGCTCATGTACAGAAGAGCTTAGATTCAAGCATGAGTTTGCCTCATTAAAGAACTGAAGAAACCAAAAAAAGCCTCCTCCAGCCAAGCTCGCACTCTCACTCAATGGCATCTCATGATCAACCATATATCATGCATATTAAATATACACAATTGAAGGGCCATTGCATTACTTGGCTTTATCTACAAGGAATGCAAAATTCTTTACCAAGTTCAAAAAAAGAGAACAAAGTGTCATGGTTATATTAGGATCTCGGGAAACTGCTTGCACGTTAAATAGCAAATTTCCCCCAACCTCAACCAACATCTATATATAAGCCCCCACAGAAGAAAACTATAAAAGATTTTTCTCACATTGTACCAAAAGAGACCCGAGTTATTGGCAGAAAGTGACACGGTGAACAAATTGGCATGGTTATATCAGGTTATTGGGGCACTGTTTGCATATTGAGTGGCAAATTTCCCCCAACCTCTACCAAATTTTAAATATAGGTCCCCAAGAAAAAGTAAATATTTTTTCTCACATCGTAACCAAGAGAGACCTGAGTTATTGGCAGCAAGTCATACAGATTACCTGTCCAGAAAACATAGCATCTTCCATCTGGAAAGCCAGTTTCAGACACAAATTAATTGAAAATCCTGACAACAGTGATACTGGTACAGGATTAACCTCCCGCATCACTGAAATTTTCTCGTTAGCCTGTAGATTTGGTCCTGGTAATTCTGCATGCCCAGCAGATGTTAACCAAGTCATCACCATCTCGCAAGCAGGTTGCGCCATAGTGTAAGACACAACCCAAAACATACCAACTGATCTGTCGTCCAAATTCATATAGTCCATCATATGATCCCCTGAAAGGAGGGTAATTAGTCAGCAAAAACCTGCTACAAGGCAAACTGAAACCGACAAGGAACCCTAGTTAAATGGTTGCAAGTCACATTTACAACCCTAAATTGTAAAAAGGATTTGCAAGACAAAATTAGGTTAGTGGCACTTCTATCCTGAGGTTATTGGTGATAGCTCATAAAAAATTACCCATATGTTTATATAAGAATCCGGCTATCTCGCAAATGGAAGTTATGATAAAAACATAACTTCAAATTGGAGATGGCAACAGTTCGATTCAGTAAACATAGCCTTGTTCATATTTAGCATGTCATCAAAAATATTTAACAGCTTGCAATCACATGTATCCACGTTGATAAAACCCTGCTAACCATACTTCCTAATTATGCCTCCAGTAATAGTCGACAATTAACAGAGACATGAATTATCAGCTTTATTATGTCCCTTATTGCTGGCAAAAGCACAAGCTGCTTTATAATATTACAAATGCCAAAGCCTTCGGAGATGGTATGCTGTCGCTCACTACATTAAGTGATCAAAAAACTCCAACACATGATAAAACTGTGTAGAGCATATGTAACTGATTCAAAAAGACTTCATGCAGCACTGTTTGTGAATAAGATATGTATACAGTATACCTTTACTTACTTGCCTCCACCATTCATCAATTTGCTTTCCTTTATGAAGCTGCTCACTATTTAAATATTCTCTGGTTGATGAATTCAGTGACCAAATGCGAAGGGTCTGACAACTGGTAATGAAGTCAAGTAGGATACTTTGGGGGTTACTGGAAACCGAGCTTATAGCTTCTTTATGAAATGACAAAACTTTTCTGGTCGTCTCCATCTACAGATGTAAGTGGATTTTTAGTCAAACATACAATATATAACGTGTGTCCCAACCCAGTATCATAGCAGCACTGTAACAGACTGAATTATGTATAAAAAAGAAAGCAAATGCATGGCTACTAAATCTGAAGTTCGGTACATATCAGATGACCTTTCTTGAATCTGTGTTTAAAGCGCTCATTACAAGCTCAGCCCGAATAATCTGCGCAAGCAACCATGTGACGTGATTCGTCCTCAGAATTTGGTGATCTTCCTCACTTATGCGTAAAACTAACCTGTCCACAAAATCAACAAAATCTATGCAACCACTTTTCATGAGAAAAAAGAACACATCTGAATAGATAAGCCACTCCTGCCAGCAATTAGCATCTGCAACATGGGAAAAGACGAGTCAAATAGTGAAAGAAAATTTGCAGAGACTTCTCCACTAATGATCATAACTACAAAAAATACAAAACAAGCACAAACCATATCCTACCCCTGATAACGATTGTAACATGCACGCAGCGCATGACAGAAGAAATATAACTGAGATATGCATACAAGGACCTAATTCAGGATACCGGTGGTGGAGACAGAACACTTCTCTGTGGAAATAGGGTTACACTAGGGATTGGCACCAACCCCATTCCTCCTTGCGGTGAATATGGATAAAATCTCTAGGGGAGTGTACCATGGTGTATATCATTTGCTGACAACAATGCTCTGGTAGCATAATAGACGAAGAGAGATGTGTATGTTAAGTTAGAGCAATGGAGAGAGGTTTTGCAAGCAAAAGGGTTAAGCAATTGCCATTCAAATACATAATATATGTAGAGAAACTTCAGCGGCAAGAACAACAAAAAGGGGATAGAAGTCAGCATTGGAGAGCAAAGGGTACCACAAAATGATAGTTTCAAGTATTTGGTATCTATGATTTTAAAGGAGGAAGCGGTTGAGGAGAACATTGCACATCGCATCAAGGCAGATTCGCTAAAGTGGATGGCGGCACAAGAGATTTGTGTGACAGGAAGGTTAAGTTAAAATTAAAGTACAAATTCTACAAGACGGCAATCAGACCAGCTACGTTGTATGGATCAAAATGTTGAACAGTGAACATAAAAAGATGAAAGTCGCATAAATGAGGATGTCAAGGTGGACTTGCGGCCAGCCTATGTTGGATAGGATACCCAATGAGATTTTTTGAGAAAAACTAGGAATTGTGCCCGACTCAGATAAGTTGAAAGATGGAAGACTGAGGTGGTTTGGGCATGTTTGTAGGAGACCACGGATGGCACCTGTTAGGAAGGTGGAGTGTCACAATAAGGGAGATGAGGAGGTGAGCCAGGCTGAGGAGGACGTGGGATGAGCAGTTGAAGCTGGATATGGAGACGTTAGTTCTTTCCGAGGGCATCATCTCAGAAAAGAGTTCTTGGAGGTGGCGGATTAGGGTAGTTGATTGCAAGTAGGAATGCTGTTGATGGAAGGGTTGGGAGGGTCAACGGTGGGTTCATGGGAGAGTCGAGTGTCATCAGAAAGGTTGGTGGTTTCCTTTGTTAGAAATAGGGAGTCTCTTTGGTATGTTTTATGTGCTATTTAGCTAAATAGGCTCTTTGCATTCTTTTATAATTTTGACTTCATAGAGATAAAAAGAACACATCTTTTACATATATGTGGCCTATATTTGTGCTTTATAGTTTGTTTCTTATTTTTTTCGCCATCAGGGGTCTTTTCAGAAACAGCCTCTCTTTCTCTTGGGACAGAGATAAGGTATGCGTATATGTTACCTCCGGCACCCAAATCGTGCCCCCGGGTGGGATATACTATGTCGGTTTGGTTTGGTTTAGACATGCTGATAAAATGAGAACATTGTAAATAAGCAAAAAATAAAAATTATAACAAATAAAAACCTGCCAAGTAACTGATCTTAGTAGAGAAATTAATAATGTGAGTGAGTATGTTGCACTTCCCAGCTATGATCGCCTTATAACAGAGAGGAGTTTTCAGAAAGCAAGAATGGAAAAGTCATGTTTGGTTACATTTTAGGAACAGAAGCAGTCCATTTCCACAAAAAGACTGCTAACAACACATACTAGTCTGTTTGTTGATGAATATATATTTATGACCTCCTTGGAGAAAATATCTCCAATGGAAATTCTGGGCAACTAGATTGCCCCAGCAGAGTTGCTCTGGTTCTGACAGTTGTCGAGTTCTAAGAACTTTGCAATCAACAAGATAGAAATTGTACAACATATACAGTATCAGAATAGAGTTCAGAGTGGATATCCTCATAACAACACATTTCAAGGCATACATGTGTCAACAAAGTAGCATGAACCGTTACCTGTATTTGTAAGCATCAAGAGTTCAATAACCCTGTCAATGGTTGCCTCACAGATCATGTCAGAACTAAAGACAGCACCTGGAGTTGGTCCTTGTGAATGCACTCGATGACAAGGTGCCACAAGAAGCACACGCCTCCACCAATCAGGTGATGGAGTATTTCGAAGGGCATGCCTAATACAACGCATAGCTCTATCCCAATCAAGACTTCCTCTCTCAATCGAGAAAGCAATATCCTACATCCATAATAAGTGATCATTCAAAGCATTTCATTTTGGGATAACTCATTTTCATTCTTGCCAGTCATCACAAACAGTGTCTACTGACATCAAGCCTTTATATAAATAACTAGTTTTCCCACTCAATATTGCATGGAGTTAAAGACTATTTAAATGGGGAACACGTGTATCTAACAGTCCTTATTTAGTATCATTTTACTTCCTTACTAATGTGGCTTCATTATATGCAAGACAAAAATGTATGTCTAACTTTCAATTTGGAAGGACGAAAATATTCAGAGTTACAATTTACAAAGTGCAAGAGGACTAAGCCCATAATTCAAAGTGCATACAGTACTCATAGGTTACATCTAAGATCCTGAAGGGTACATTCTTTATGCTCATTCATACTCGGATGATCAAATTTTATCTTGGCCCAGGTGGTGTGCAAATAATCTCATCGTGAAAGTAAGAACATGGCTTGCCAGTTGCCAAGGTGTGCCTTTCCACCACTCTAGAGAGTAGCAATGCCTTAGGAAGATATTTAAGCTTTAATTGGAAAATGTCCAGGTGTGGTTTGATGGAGAGTGTGAGATCCAGTGTTTTCAGATGTGGTGCTTACCAACCGTTAAGAGACCTCAACTATGCCAACAGACTGTGTGCAATCCTAGACGAAATGACAGGATAATGAATTGAGCAACCAAGAAGGCTACCCTCCTTGCCAAGCATGAAAATTCTATATGTCAATGAGGTTCTTCACTTGTCGATTTGTTTCTCTAGTTTTTGTTTTCTCTCAAAATCTTGAGAAACAAAACATCACTCTTGCTAATACGATCCATTGCCTACTTGATACTATCTGGGATATCTATCAAAAAGTATTAAGTGAAAGCCCAAAAAACTCATGACATCAAAAAATGTGATTACCTCCCCATGCAACGGTTCTCCAAGCACACTTGGGTATGTAATAGGTGAGTATCTTAGATTTGCAGTTGATTCACCTAACATATTAATTGCAGCCTGACACAGAAGACGTTGATTCCCAAACGTAGGGCAGTGAAGATGCTGATCTAACATTTGCATGTGCATGGCCATCATATCTCGTCTCCTGTGAACCTCCAAAATGAGTGTAAAGAGTGCCTCATCATCAGGTAGATTTTCTATAAACTGTAGTCCACTTCGCAATAGCTCATAAAAGGGTATACGGCATTTGTTATCCTCAATCAGCATCCAAACCACGTCTAAACACTTATGTAGCCATTCAAATAAGGCCTTTTCCCGTTTCAAAGATTTTACTCCATCAACCTCATCACTCCCTTGTTGCCATTGATCCCAGTTTACCAGCCAATTTAGCATGTGATAGAAAATATCAGCATGGGTAGTTGGCTTTAAATTGGCTTCCAAGGCAGAAAATATTATCTCGCAAGATAACTTACGCAGAGTACTTATGGCAGAATCTCTCCTAGACATGTTACCTCTTGCTGCAGCCTGCTGTCCAGTGCTGTTGATATCGGATGATTTTACAGGCGACAAAGCTGTACATGATGGTTCATTTGCTGATTGAGATGGGGATCCAATTCCATGAACTGAAATTAAAGGAGATTCCGGATTTGGAGACTGAAAATTAGAGAAATTGAGAGCCACAGCAGACGATGGTAACATCCCAGCGTTCGATAAAGACGTAGAAGAAACAGCAGGCTGTGGCGAAGCTGCAGAAGAGATACCCACCGACATCTCTGCAGAGGTGACAGAAGAAAGAAGAGATGGTAGAAAAGAATCCCAACATATGTACCCAACACTGTACAAACCATTCAAAGCAAAAAGAATAAACTCTGCTCTCGGTGCATGACCACTACACTGGATAACCAGAGACACAAGCACAGATTCCACCACAGTACGCAATTGGTCATGATCCTGAAAAGATAAACCATAAACTACCAATGTTTACATTTAAAATGATTGAGTAAATGCAAGTGAAAGGATAAAAAGCACAATGCAAGCAGGTTACTTTCTGTAGTTAGAAACTTACAGGAAACTGATTCTGAAGCTGCTGAAAATCTGAAAGAAATTGTCCATTGCATGGAGGAATATCTCTATTCAGAGCAGTAACTCTCTTCTGTGTCTTATTCCTGTAGTTCGTTTTCATAAATAGTGCCCATGTATCACAAAATTATTAACATGAAATATGCAAGAAAATCATTTCATAAAAGAAGTTACAATAACTTAGATTATAGCTTTACCTTCTTAAAGGCTACAAACCAAGATAGGGTGGCAGTCTAATATAACAACATAGTGATAAACAAATTAGAAACAGAGTCACAAAATCTTGTCCTCGTAGAAGTTTCCTTGTATATTCCTTTTAATGTCCCCTCCCTAGGTCTCTACCATATTTTCAAGGAGAAGACTTTTTGTATTCCCACTCGTGAAGCTTATTTTGGAAAAAGAAAGCAGGGTAAGTTTCCTGAAGACAGGTTAATCAAATGAATATAATAGTGCTGGAAACTTTCCAAGCAAGTTATGACCCTCAATCATAGAACATAATTTGTGAAATACAGACCAAGTAGACCTGAATTCATTGATTAAATTAAAACTTTAAATTTAACCAGAAGGCTTTGGAGACCTGGGCAAATCATGGCTGCCTGGGTTTTCCAAGAGGTTCAAAAGTCACTACCATGGACTTACAAAAGGCTCAAAAGTCACTACCATGGACTTACAAAAGGCTCAAAAGTCACACAACATATGAGACTAGTATATGACCCCGCCCCAAACCCAAAATAAACACATAATAGGAGACTAATTTAATAACCTCCAAATCAACTGAATGGTAGTTGGTTTTTGGTATAACCCGCAACTGTAGACTTATCAAAGGCTCATAAAGTACACAACATATGAGAGTCGTATGTCAACCCCCATTCCAACTTAAATGCCTAGCATCCTCGTTAGGCATAAACAAAAACCTAAATAAAATCACATTATTTATATATCAAGGGTCTACAAATCAACTAAAAGACTAAAACCACGGTGACTTACAAATGGCTCGTAATTCATACTTACATTGATCTTGTACACAAAATATATGCATAGGCATCAGTAGTTTGAGGTTACTATACTACATTGATAAAAAAAAACATAAGGTCATCCTTCATTGAGAGTTGCTTCACTTGGTAGCTCAATATTACTTGTGATTCTGTCACTTCCCTTCCAAACCATCTTAGATTCGTCTTTAGGTGTAACTAACAATTTCAAATGTAAAATCTACTTTGAACAACGTACTTTAAGTATATGCTACATAAGTTACTTCCAGCCCTATCACAAACTTCTGTTTTCCAAACGTACGCAAACATAGTCGGGCAGATGAAACAGAAATGTCCGATTTGAAATTCAAAACAGGGTGTTAACTTACGGAGGTTCTCGGATCAAATCATCTGATTTATGGCGGCCATTTCTCTGCAAGTATTAGAGTTGATTAATAGATTAAAAACATAATGTGTAGATGAAATCCTAAAGATAAATGTAAGAAACGAATGACTCCAATACAACTGAATTCTTTCCTTTTTGTAAATTTCAAAGTGGAATGCTCGTTTGGTTTATAAAGAATAGAACATACACCGAGATAGAGGTTAAAGAGGTCCACGATGGCGGGTCTGGCGGGGTGAAACTGGAAAGCTCTCGACGCAGAAGACCGGTGGTGGCTCTGATCACCCATGTCCGACGGATTTGGTGATTGAGCGGAGGTGGTGATTGTTAAAGGGATACCACCGCTGCCGCCGCAGCTACTAGTTGTCGGAGTTCTTAACATTTGTACCAGTAGTAATAGAAAATTAGTGGACAGTTTGGTGGTGGGCGTCCCCGTCCCCGTTCATCCCCAAATTCAATTGTATGGAATCGGAAGGGTTTTAGAATTTCATTGGCGACTGTTGTAGACTTCCGTTACGTTTCAATTCTCCTGTTGGTTTATGGGATTCTTCATAAAAAATAAGAATATTCATATATTTTATTTATAATTAGTTACATGAATTCAATCATAAAATTTTAATAAATTATAATTATGCACAATTTATTTATAGTCTCGAATTTTAAGTAATATGCATCAATAAACAGTACTTTATACATAAAAATATTTTTTAAAAATATTTTTCAAATGTTTTATAAACAACCCTTTAATTTAGAATATGTTTGGCTAATTAGTTAATAAACTAGCTGATAAATAAATTGTGTTTGACAAAACTAGCTGGTAATAATATAAAATGATGTCAAAGACCTTCCAGCCTAGTGGTAAAGGCTTGGGCATGGCATAGTCATGAACCCGAGTTCGAGCCCTGGGAGGGGAGTGTTGGCGACATTTAAGTGAGGCCATGTTTAGCCTCCAAATTTGCCGGGGATTAGTCGGGCTTTGACCCGGACACCCTTACCAAAATATATATATATATATATATATA